ACAACAACAACAACATCAAGCCTTTATCCCACTATGTGGGGTCGGCTACATGAATCCTTTTTCTCCATTGTGTCTTATTAAAAGTCAAATTTTCGTTTAAATCTAATAAAGAAAGGTCATTCCTAATATTTTCTAACCAAGTCTTTTTAGGTCTACCCCTACCTTTCTTAACATAAGTCAAATCTAATACCTCTACTCTCCTAACCGTCATTATTGTTCGACAAGTTTTACGCTGGCTGTCGACTACCTAACGCAACCCTCCACTTTTCTCATCCAGGACTTGGGACCTGGCAACGGCAGTGTTAAGGCATTTTAAAAGATAAATTACAGTTTTCTTCTTCTAAATTTAGCTGAATCATTTTATAAATTAATATATATAGACAACAAAAGTTGGTGCAAATTTGAATGCAAATACCCAAAAAAATAGAAGGAAAAAAAAATAATTTCATCATTTCATTCATTCTTCATAAAATAAAACCTTAGCAATATATAATATAAGGCTAGAGTTTAACTTTTAATAATTTTATTACATTTTTAAATTCATAATTACATGAGTAACCTCAAAGCATAAACAATGATGCAATCCTTTGGATATACTTACATAATGGATTAAGAATTATGAAGGCCCATTCAAATTTATTAAAATATATTATAAATTTTTAATTAATTTTAATTTTTAGATGTAAAAAATAATTTAAATTTATTTAAATCAAGAGGCAAACAAGAGCGTTGAGCACAAAATCATTTTTATTTTTATTTTTAGTTTTAATTTCTTTGAGGCTTTTAAATGATTAATGGGCTAATCAGTCATTTCGTTTAACGCCAAAAGTCCAGCCCACTTAACAGCCCAATTTAAACCTTTTAACTTGGTGAGCGTGAGATAAACAATTGGAAAAATACCATATCCATAAGAAGAAGATAAAGCCCAAAAATATCCAAACTAAAATCATTGAATTGTTATAAATTTACATATATAAAATCTATATTTTTATAATTACTTATATAACATATTATTCTTTAAATCACATCAACTAAATCACTAACATAAATTTATTTAAGATGAAAATCTCTTTTTAATTCATATATTTTGATATAATTTAGAAATTAGGTGTTATATATGCAAATACAAAGATGTAGAGATTATATAAGTTATATAAAAATTTGGTGGTATTTAGGTAAATCACCCAAATAATTATAAAAAACAAACACAAACAAACCTTTATCCTACTACGTGGGGCTGATTATATGAATCTTTTTTCTTTATTTTGTCATATTAATAATTAATTTCTCATTTAAACTTAATAAAAAAAGCATTTATAATATTTTCTAAGAGTCTTTTTAAGTTTATATCTATATATTTTTAACATATAATAGATCTAATGCATCTATTCTACTAACTTGATCATCAGAAGGCTGATATTTTATGTAACCAAACCATCTAAGGTGACTCTATCTAATCTTATATGTCAATAGAGCTACTCAAACCTTTTCACGTATATACTAATTCCACATTCTCTATCTGAGTTTAAAGCCACTCATCCACCTGAGCCTCATCATCTCTGCAACGCTTACTTTCTAAACCATAAAAGCATGGTTGGTCTCACCACCATCTTATAAAATATTTTGCTTAATTTATAGGGGTGATTTTCTATCAAAATCACCCAAATAATTATTTATAATTTTAATAGTGTTACAAAAAAAATGTAGATATTAACATAATTTTATTAAATATCACATATTTTAATCTTAAGCACATAAATTGATGTCCTAATTGATGTATTTTATTTTCTCAAGTTCAAATGTCATATATAAATGACATTATATTGATTATTTTTATAACATATTTTTTTATTGCGGTTAAGCTTATGATACAAATTTGAATAATCAAAATATAATATTTACTCAACCACGTACCAAAAGGGACTCAGCTCGACTTGGTCTATTGTTTGGAAGCTTTGATTCGAGTTTTGTGTATATGTTGTGTGTGTGAGAGTTTACCTTAATTGACCTAAATGTCCCCAACAAAAGTAGCTTACGGGAATTTAGGCTTTGTTTGATATGGCTTTTTAAGTGCTTCTTGAAAGAACTTTTTAGCATTAAAATTAATTTTTTTTTTACTAAAAAGCTATTTTAAGAAGCATTAAAAAAGCAACAAAGCCTAAAATGTTTGGGAGTTCCAAAAATAAAAGAAAAAAATTTTAACTAGTGTTATCCGAGTCCAATCAAATGCATCTACTTTACGCTCTTCCTTTAATGAATGCGGTAAATTTGTTAAAAATATCATTACAATAACTATTTAAGAGAGAAATTCTAAAATAAAATATTAGAGGGTCATAATTACATAATATCATAATAGAACCAATTAAGTTCTCATATAAAAAGGAGATGACACACAAATTTGTTAGGACCTAAGATAAAGAATAAAGAGGATGAGAATTCTCAAATAATCTAATTTGAACTAATATAATTTAGGCCTGAATGGGCCCAGTGGCCCACTTTATGGCTCAGTGTCGGCCCATTCTATAAAACCAGCCTAGATTAATCCAATTTGGGCCAGCCTCTCTACTTCCTAATATTGCCATCTGTGCTCATACAAGAAATTGGATGGCAATAATGTGAAAAATCAATTTTTGCTTATTTATTAGTTATAAATATTATAAAGAGAATTATCTAATTAGTATTTAAGTTATCATATAAGAGATATATATGTGTAATTATAGTCTTATTAAGGAACAATTATTTGGTTCGGTGAACGTACGCTCCTCTACGTTCGGCCACCAATATTTTAGCGACACGTAGCATTAAGAAAAGTCGCCGACCCGACCCGCCGTTTTTTGGGTTCTTCAGAGGACGTAATAATTGTTCCTTATTAAGGCTCATAATTTTTTATTTGTCAGATTTCTACGTAAAAATCAGGCTTCATTATACTTATAATTACACATATCTCTTATATATTTTTTGAAATTAGACTAACCTTCTCTAGGCTCTAGCTAATCTTAGATATTATATTACATATTATGCCAAACTATTTTTTTCAAAAATAACATTTCTTCTCTATTGTTAGATGTTATGTTCTATGTCAATTCCAATCCTCCATAAACTAAAAATTTTAAAGAAGACAATGCAATTTCAAAAAATATAAAGGACATATGTGATAGATTTTTAATCTTAAAAAAAAATTATGCAAAGAGTTAATCAAGCTATAATGAAGAAGTCATCAATTCTATCAGACTAAGCAAAATTTTTATTGCATGAAAGACCCCAATAAACAAGTCTCTTCTCAATGAATCTAATGATCATAAATGGCTTAATTTCAGATGATGATTTTAGTACACTTATCACTTACTGAATTTTCAGCTGGCTTCTACAATCCTCAAAAATGCCTCTGATTTTAAAAAATAGTACAAATATCTCACTCCAATGCCCTAATTGACATGCTGAGATCAAAAGTTCTAAACCCTAAAGTAGATTTCTTCTTGCTTCCTGTCTTCCAAAAATCAATCTCAGTGTTCATCACTGTTCCTTGAAGTTTGAAGGATTCATCTCTTGATCTGCATGTGGGAGGGGAGAGAGAAAGTGATAGCTCAGTCTCTTCTTCTTCTTCTTCATATTCTTCTTCATCATCAGAAGCACCATTGCCATTCAATACTTTCTCTACTGAGCTTGGTATCAAGCTTAGCTGCAAATCTGGAATCCCATGGCCATGATCTCTTGAAAGCCTCATCCTCTTGGCATCTACAGAATGCTCTTCCCTCTCCTTTCTGAAGATGTTTTCAAGCTTGCTCCATTGATGTTCTTGTGATTGTGACTGCATCAACAACACAGAAAATAATTATATAAATAAGATAGTTTAAGATATGATTTAGGCTTCGTTTGGGACAACTTTCATACTGCTTCCTAAAACGAATTTCAAGTATAAAACTTTCTAATTCAAGAAATTTTTGTACTAGAAAGCTATTTTAGAAAACAACAAAAAAGCTGTCCCAAACGAAGCCTTACCTTGCCGTCTTAGAGAATGAATTTGAGCATGTATAAGAGTGAGCTGATAAATAAAAAAATAAATACATATAAACCAAAATTTTACAAAGGATTAGTTGATATTTTTAATCATAACATTTAAAAAGTATATATTTATAACTTGAAAATTTAATTATAGGTTGATTTTGAAGAAGGATACATTACCTTAATGTTGTTGAAGCAGCAAAAGTTGTTTGCTTTCACAACAAAATTATGATTGAAGTTAGTAACTGATGAATTTAATGGAAGAGCCTGTGAGTACTGTCTGTGTTGAGATGTTCTTGAATGCTCATAGCTGAAGGTATCTCTTGCCATCTTTTGCTGGTTAAAAGCCCACTCTTGTTGCCTGTTTAAGCAGCAAATTAATCCATTAGCTTAATTAAGGAAAAAAAATTGATTACTATATTGACTTTTAGCAGAGATTGAGCTCAGATTAGAATTAGAGTCATATTACTGCAAGATTAGATTGTTAATAGCCGTGATTAAGGCTCGGTTTGTGCTAGAAAGCTGCTTTAAGAAGTAGTAAGAAAGCTGTTCCAAACGAAGCCTAAGTGATTTTCTTTATGTTCTTCAGATGATTATCATATAAATTTGATTTTCTAGATTGATTAAATTACCTAAGCTTTGCATTCCTGATTTGCAAATGTTTCTGCGTCTCATAAATATTTCTGGCTTGCAGGCTTTCATTTCTCATTCTGAAGGGTTGGAAGAACAGATCATGAGAACTCTCTCTCTTTAAATGAGCATCCAATGAAGAGAAAGCTGTTCCAGAAGTTTTAAACAATTCCATTAGAATTCAATGGTTCAAATTAACATGCAAAACATATATTATTTTTATTCATGGTTGAGCTTATTTATTATTGAGCTGTGCACAATTGAACATAGATAGCAAGTCAAAAAAATGATAATCAAATTGCATGAATATTTTATTAAAATAATTGCATGATAAATTAAATATTTATAATTAACATAGTCCAATCTATTTTGAAAGCTGCAGGTTTGGGCAGCTTTCTCGTTATTTTGCTTTTCAAATCACAACAATAGTTTCGTTTGACCTTTTTTTTTCCTTTTGGTTTCTCGTTACTTTCTAGAAATTTCTATAAGGCAAAAATGCTTTCTACAATTAGAATTGCTGATGTGTGGCAGCTTTAATAAAGCAGTTGTTCTATTGTTTAAAAAAGAACTTCATCGTAGCTTTTGAAAATTTTCTTTTCCCCACAACAGCTTTACAACCAACTTTACAAAATACTGCAGCCTCCCAAATAGGATTAATTATTCTGCGCGGACGCTGAACGCCGTCCGAAGACAAACCAGAATGCGCCACGTCACCTATGTCCTCGGTACCGCAGCTCGGTACTGCTTAATTGGTACCGCTGACGTAGAGCATTCTGATTGGCCTCTGGATGACGTTCTGCATCCGGTCTCCGCACAGATAAACCCTAACTGCTAGAAAAAGTTCAGTCAAATTAATAATTCACACAAGAATAAATGCATTGCAGGAAAGCCACAAACCTGAAGAAATGGTAAACCTTTCCTGGCCAGAATCATCAAGTTTCTTGCTTCTGTACATCTGATATTTAACAAAAGAGGAAGGCATATACTGAATCATTAAAAAGAAGATCTAAATATTGATGACAAGTATATAAATAACTTGCAGATACCTATTTTTTCTGAATTTATAGATCAATACATAGTGGAAGCAAATAAAATTTAATGAATTACATTTCCCACCCTTTACCTGCAAGTGGCTCTTTACATGTGCAATACTAATCCCCTTAACATTCATCATCTGAAGAACTAACTTTGGTGTTGCTCCTACATATGAAAATAGAGGAAGATTCAGTCAGTATACACAAATATTACATGGATGAATTAAGCTGATGAAATCCCATATTCAAAAGTATTTTCCTGCTACAAATGGAAGCAAATCAAAAGAAATTACAGTCATTTTTGAACTATAATTTTTGTACCAAAAAGATGCTTTAGAAAACAGTGAGAAAGTCGTCCCAAATGAAGCCTTAATTAGCTGACAATCAGAATGTAAGATTCTTCTTTCCTAAGCTAATTAAAGATGATTTTTGTTTTTAAGTCCTGTGAGATTCTATATTGTCTTCACTATCAGAAAAATAAATTTTTGCAGCATAAAACCATTTCAATTGCTCTAAATTTTGCAGCTGTTTAAACTGTTGAGTATTTATGATTGAGCTTACTCTCTTGCCCGCCCAACCGCTCAACCGCACGAACAAACAAGAGGTGTAGCTCCGCCGTCCACCGTAATCTCGGCAAATTCGACTTCACATATTGCCTAACACCTACCGCCGCCGCCGCTGAATTCTCACCATAAAATCTATTGTCTCCACTGTTGTTATTACTTGAACTCCCCTCTTCTTCTCCTTCCATCATTTCTTCTTCGATTTCTTTCTCTTCTTCATTGTCACCTTCACCTTCGCCTTCGTTCTCCGCCACGACGACGACGACCTCCTCATTAAGATCTAGCTTTGAATTCAACCTTTTCCTTCCTCTTTGATCACTCCTCTCATACCTTCTCTCCTCAACTTCTTCTTTCTCCACCACTTCTATTACTTTCTCCCTTCCCATCTCCATACCTCCACCTCTCTTCTTTTCTATATATTTCCTTAATTCCTCTTTGTTATGCTGAGGTAAAGTCTATTAGTTAAAGGAGATGGGTGAACAAACAAGTGACTCTCTTTATGCTTGCAGGCCTTCAGCATGCAATAAATCATATCAGGAGCAGCTCATATAAAAATAAATTTTTTATTTTTTTTATTATTTTGAGATTTTTTGTAATGAAAAGGAGAGCATTTCTTATTCCAGCTGATAAGTCAAAATATTGCTTCATGAAAAAATTTGACCATATTAAAGTTTATAGAATTAATTTTTTATTATATTTATTAAATATTTTGCAGCTCTATTGATATAGTTTTATATTAAGAGTTAAAAAATATTATTTTTGTCTGCAATAATTTGTGCTAACTTTATATTAAATATTTAGGTGTGAAGAATTTTTTTTTTAAAAGATAAATATTTGATTTCCCAAATTATTATGGATTTAACATTACAATATAAATTCATAAAAACAATGCTATTATGGAAATAAAATCGAGGTCAATAAAAAAAATAAAATAAAATAAAATGTTATGAATGTTATTCCCTAAATTGAGTAGTTTTATATTCAATATAATTACTTTTTTCTCATTTTATAGACTAAGGGAAGAAAATTTGGGTTTTGATTTTCTAATTTAAAATTAATTAGAATGAGTTTTATAGTCATCCAATTTATTTTAAAATAAATATCATATATAATTAATAAATTAAAGTTTATATTATATTTGTTTAAAAATAAATCTAATGAATAAAAATATGTTCTACCAAATTAATGTAAGAATCTTTAGAGTCATAATTTTTCCAAAATGAATGGAAGAGAAAAATCAAGGAGATCGGGGCGTCAAAACAAGTTGATGGGTCATTGGGTCATGTTTAGATCCAACTAGAAATTGATTTGATATAAATATAGTCGATCCGAACTCATGCCAGTTAATAAACGGTTCCAAAAGATTGATCGATATTCAACCGACCTGTTGGCAACCTGGATGACCCAAACTCAATCCTATAACCCATTTTGATTAAAAAAAGATTTATATCATAGAACAAAATAAAAGTCATCTAAGATTAATATTGTTGGTGTGATTAGATCTCAAGATTGATGGTTATGAGAGATTAATGTTGATTGTAATTTGAATTAGATGGTTGGATTATGCTAAAAGTTATGAAATTAGTGGCTATGAAATTGGATTCGATCATTGATTCAATATGAATTTTGATCCAAGCATTGAGCTTTTTAGTGTAAAGAGCCGTTTATGGGTGTAAATGAATGAGCCTGGTCAAGTTATTGCCTAATCGAGCTAAGCACACTTAATTTATACCAAGTTTGAACTCGAGCTCATTTTCTGAGCTTGAACTTAGCTCGAGTAAAAAAATATGAGGCTCAGGCTCGACTTGAATGCTTGAGCTTGATAAGAAAGCTCAAGATTGACTTGGTTTTTAGCTCAACTTTTTATTTTGAATTTAAAAAAAAAAAGCAATTGATTATGCTAATATAAATATCAATGTCCTAATTAATGTTAATCAAGACGGTTCGATAAGCCGAGCCTGAGCTGGAGCTTGTATGATTTATGAGTTCGAATTTAAGCTCAAAATCAAACTTGTTGCTCGATAAGCTCGACTCAGGAGCTCGTTACTGAGTTGAGTTCAAGCTAGCTCATGAGACGACTTGGCTTACTTACACCCCTAGAACCATTACTCTAACTAAACTCTTGACACAAATATTTAATATTTATGTAGAGAATGAGCTTGTTCGATAAACAAATCCTTACAAGAACCTCAATCACCTTATGGCCATTTTTTCTTGATAACAATGTTATAAAAATAAAAATGTAATTTTGTTATCCTTATGTCATCTCCAACTGAACGACATTCTCTGGTTTGCAGTAGCCACGACCATCCAACCGAATAGCAAATCAAACATCATTTTTATGTTTTGAATAGTGTGATGTCAATATTGGTGTCGCATTGCTCACAACGAAGAGAAATCACAAATTGAGTTTTTGTTTGACATTCAGGTGAAGACTTGCAGAAACTGCAAACATGTGAGAGTCTCGATTAATATTAATTAATACACTGGCTATATCAACCTAGTTAATTATTTTTTCATCCAAATAAAAAGTAAGAAATGGAGCTCCAAAACGAATAAATCTCAAACTTTCTTATCGAGCTCAACAATTTGAGTCGCGCTTGAGCTCAACAAAAAGATCAAATTGAGCTTGAATTCATGCTCAATATAAACCAATCAAGCTTGACTTGATTAAGCAACAACTCGACTCAACTCTACTCGTTTATAGTCATAGTCCCTTTATCGAGCTCAACAATTTGAGTCGCGCTTGAGCTCAACAAAAAGATCAAATTGAGCTTGAATTCATGCTCAATATAAACCAATCAAGCTTGACTTGATTAAGCAACAACTCGACTCAACTCTACTCGTTTATAGTCATAGTCCCTTTTATATATATATATATATA